CCCCCCCCCCCCCCCCCCCCCCCCCCCCCCCCCCCCCCCCCATAGAATACTACTGAATGCTACCACCCCAGAGCCAGGCTGCCAGTCAGAGTGGAGCTGGGCCTCAGGAGTGAGGGTCAGGACCAGTCCAGAAGGATGGACAGATGGACAGCAGATCCAGATGGACAGACAGACAGACAGCAGTTCGGGTAGGCTGTGTCAATAGCGGGGAGCCAGCCGAGCTGAAGCCCCCAAAATGACACATTAGGGGTCAGGTGACAGGTCAGTGGGAATAGCATGGCAGTGTTAGGGGCCCACCTCTTTATGGGGACTAGAGGATGGTGTGTTCCTTACGTTCTTGGGCTTCGTTTTCCTGCTATGAATATGTCCATGTCCTCGCATGGTCCCAATTCACTTTGATGAGTGCTCATGACAACATCCTTTCCACTTTTAGGAAGACGTGATTTATCAGTCTGTATCTCATGGACAGAAGCATTGGAACTCAACATGGAATCAAAACCTGCTTGTAAAATGATGTCAAAAATCAGGACAAGGCACAGCCTAAAAAATGCTGCTATAAAACACTATGGAGCCATGGGGCGGGGCACAGCCTGCTGTCGACATCCTGACTGAAGGAACTCCCAAGAGTTCAACTAGACTCTTAGATGGAAGCCACGCCATGCTCCGAAGACTCTCCCTGCTCTCTCCGGCTTTCCTTCTCCTCCCATCTTACTCCTCACTCCTGCTGGGGCCCCTGACTTACAGAAAAGACCTAGGTGGCAAGATGGCTCCACACTGTACCAAGCCTGGCAACCTCATGAAAGAAGGAGAGAACTAACTCTGAAGGTTGTGCTCTGACTACAAACACACAATCACACACATACATACATGTACACACACATGTAATCACACACATAACACACATATACATATACACATAAACGCATATGTATACATGCACATGCACACACTATACATATATATGTATGTTTAAAATCAGGAATCAAAGGGGAACCATCCTTCAAGAAGACGTGTTCCTAAGTATTTCCTCAGCTCCAGACCATACCTCACCTTCTCAGGGCAGCTAGTCTCTGGGGGACCCCAGTTGGGGTACTCTTCCACTGCTGACTTGATGGGCATCTCTGGGGTCTCTCTGGCCCCTTCAGCACTACCCTGTACCGTGTTCGGTTCTCAGGCCTATGAGGACCAGAAGTTTCATTCTCATCAGAAATCAAGTCTCAACCCCAGATTTATCCACGGCAAACTTCTAGAACAAAACACAAAGCAGGCATCCTACCATGGCTCTGAGCATGGAGAAACTCCTGTCAAGGTCAGGAAAACAGTCGTGGCAATTCTCAAGGTCACCCTGACCAACAGCTAGCCCTAAAGTCACAGAGGACTCATTCCAGAAAGACGCAGCCAGGCTGGTGCTCCACGGAGCTGGTCTGGCATAGAGGAGCTGTACCGCACTTCTTGACCTTCAGCAACCCGCTTTCTACCAACAAATGACCTCTGACCCTCCAGCCCTGACCCTTTGGCCCCCAGCTGTGAGGGTAGACAGTTGACTCTGAAATGCCAGCCGGGGCTACTCCCAGAGTATAACACTAACTGAAACTAACTCACAACGCCCTTCACTGGCTTTTGACTGAGCTAAAATTACGGCAGCTGGCTTGGCTTATGAACCCTTTGGCCACAGCCACCACCAGCTCCAAGTCTCTGCCCTTGGTGGCTTCTCCCCAGGGTGCCCAGGGCTCCTTGCTTTTTGCTCTTTCTAACTCCCCAGTTCTTTCTAACTCAGGGCAGCCCCCACATCACCCCGCAACAATACCTTCCCAGTATGCCCTCTGGTGGGTCAGTGTCTCCCCGCAGCATCTGAAGTCTGCAGACCCAACAGGGAAGGAGGAGCCTGACAGGAAGAGGGGAAAAGGGAGCTGGGGGAGAAGCGAGTTATCAAAAGAATAAATAGGGAAGGCGAAAGGGATGTTTCTTAGTGTCCTTCTATGTCCTGGCTCACTGAGCCCCCCCTTCTGGGGCAGCAAGAGAAAGGTATATCGAGTTTAGGGATGTAAGGACTCCATTCAATCCCTTCTTCCACCCACATCAACACCTCCTGTGACTGCCGGCTCCCCCCCATTATGCAGCGGCAGAGTCCACCTGCAGTCTGGCTCTGCCCAGCCACTCCAGCTGTTCGGAGACAATCTGTAGCCGGCTGCTATGCCGTCATGACTGGACAGGTGGAGGGGGCCAGACGAAGTGAGCCCAACAGGGGAGTCACTGTGCTTCTGAGTAGAGATGGACCCATGGGGTTCACAGAGAGCAGAATGAGGTGACAGGGGAACGTGACCGGGCCTGGCCAGGCACACACACATGCACATGCACACGTACACACACCCACACCCACGGGCTTGGGTACTTAACTGTCATTCATTTCCCCATTCTGAATTCATCCCAGGCTTCTCTGACGAGCTGTCTCAATTGACCAGATATAACTGGAAAACACCAGGTTGGCCTTGCACGCCCCCCCCCCCCTGGTTACCGCTTCCACGTTCCCCTGTGGTCTCAGGAACCCCTGGGGTAGGTCAAACTAGTGTGATTATGATATCAAAAGCAGTCCACCTGTCCTAAGCTTCTACGTGTCGGGGACACTGATGCGTCTGTTTCCCCTGCGTCATCTCGCATAACTCTGCACTGGCAGGAAATTGAGGTCTCAAAAGGATAAGCCACCCGCCCCCCTAGTAGCGGCCAGGAAGTGCAGAGACTGACCCAACACCCAACCCTCTGGCACTCAGATCTGAATTCACAAGCCCTTACCAGAAACACCTGTGTCCACCTTCACCTAGCACCTGGAGAAAACTCCACACTGGGGAGGGAGGTCAGCGAGAGGTCAAATGGGCTAGGCTGTTCTTCAGCAGGGCCCCTTGTGAAGAGCCAAGACAGAGAGCACAGGCTCTTCCTCAAAGCCACGCATATAGCAAGGGTGAGGAGAGAGAACCCCAAAGCCTGGGCAGTGCCAGGTGTGTTGGCACATATCTGTAACCCCATCGTTCGCGAGGCTGAGCAAAAATGACCTGCAGTTCAAGGCCAGCCTGGACTGGGTGCCAAGACCCTGACTCAAAACTAACAAAACACAACACCCTGGGTGGTGGGATAACACGGGGATAGGTAGCCAGTGCCAAGCCAGGATGATGAGAACCGGCGACCTGGGACCAGAAGACTGCAGTGACTCCTAGGGGCAGGCAGACAGGCCAGTGAGACTTAGGCTTCAGACCAGGGCTTCTTGGGAACTTCAAGAGGGCACTGTCCCAGAATTCTGCACAGAAATTCTGGCCAGAAGGCCCTTCATCCTTTCTGACTAGAGCTTACAACATTCCAGAAAATTCCACCGTATGTTTAAGCACATCTCCTAGCCAAGGATTACTAAGGGAAGGTCAAAAAGAATCTTCACCCTTGGGACTCACTGGAGCTCTCTAGTCTCTCTTGTATTCCCTGGGGAAGGGGGACGCTCAGAAAAGTGGTTCCCCATTCCTGCAGTGTGAAAGAAGGCCGGAGGTAGTACTCAAGGACCACCTCCTGAGCCAGGCAGACCTCCTGGGTTTGCATATTTATCCATAGAGTTAGTTCTCTCCAGCCTGCAGAGCCGATTACATCATCACCCCAGAGCCTGGGCCAAGACGCCCCCTCCCTCCGCTACTGTGACTGGGTGTCACCCACTCCCAAGAGAAAATGGTGAGCACACAGCAGATTAATAAAGGCCTGGAAACAAAAAAAAGAAGAAAAAAAAGTATGTGAGGGGGGACATTAAGTGAAAGATTTGTTGGCAATACAATAAAGGAGGTTTTTGTTTGTTTTGAGACAGTCTGACTGGGGAGCCCTGGCTGCCTGGAATTCACCATGTAGACCAGAGCGGCCTCAAACTCACAGAGATCCACCTGCTGGGATTAAAAGCATGTGCGAACACTCTAGTAAAAGATTGGAGTTTTTGCAGAAGCAAATGGGCTTTCTATAGGGGGGGTTGGGGGGCCGCGGGTAATGGAGAAAGAGTGGGGGACCCAGCGCCTTCCTAGGTGATCTAGGCAGGCTAGGGTCTGAGACGGGAAACCCAGCTTCCTCCTAACATCATCTCCTCTTGAGATGGCCGACAGGCCTAAGCGAGCCTGGGAAGAAGAAAGTCGACAGGGCAGAGAGAAGGAAGCAGGAGGGAAAACAGCCCTTATCTGCCTCCCTCGACTCTACACACCCAGAACTACTCCAGAAGGAAGCCGCAAGGCCGCTAGGCGCCCGGTGGGCGTGAAGGTGGGCGGCGTCCAGCGTCCCCACGTGTCCTGGAGAGGAGAGGCCGGAGACTCGTGAAGGGCCCGCGGGGAAGTCACCGCCTCAGGATGTCGGCGATCCTCAAGGTTTCTGAGATTCCGTCTCTTCCCTTCGCGATCCTGCGGGGCGTGCCTCTGAAGTGACCTGGGCTGAGCGTAGTCCCTGTCCCCACGGTGAGCCGGGGCGCGAAGGGTTAACGTACCTGGGCCGCCCCCCACCCTGCGGCCCCGCCTCCAGCCGGGAAAAGAAAGTCTCAACGGGGGCGCGGCCCGGCCCGGTCCAGCCGTCTCCAGCCGCGGCGCTCAGAGCTGTGATCCGTGCGCTCCGCTCAGCCACCCTGGACCGGGCCGCCATGTCTATGTGGTGAGTCGGGGTCCATGTGGGGCGCAGGGCACCTCCGGGGTTCTCCTTCTCCCAGGACCGCAGACCGCAAGGGATGCACGCTGGAAGTCGTGGGGCAGACCTCAGTTGCCCGGGGCAGCGCGGGTGGCGGGAGATGCGGAGCGGGACGCGGCGCCGGAGCGGCAGGTGGGATGTGGGAGATGCGGGGCGCACGCTCGGCTCCCCGGCCACGGCTAGTGCAGCCGGTATGCAAGGTCTCGAGGCCCCGGGATCCCATCAAGAGTTGCCCCGGAGACTCCTCCAGTCGTTCTTCCCTCCTGCGGCCTCTCCTCCGGACGTCTTAAGCCCTCTCCCTACCCGGCTTTGCTCTTACGTAGGGGGCTGGTGCGTGCCTGCAAGCAAGGGGCCTCGCTACCGCCGTCCGGGACTGGTCCTTACTCGGACTCCGGAGTTGGTAATTCTTTAGAACCCCGAGGGCTGGAGTACTGGGTCCGGGATCCTCTGCTCTGGTTCCCAGAAGGGTTCAACCTTGGGTCTCACCACCCAGCAGAGTATCTCAATTGAATTCTTTCTCCATCCAACCTGGTGGCCAGGAAGTCTTGGATCCTTTAGAAAAAATCTCGCAGTATGGAGGTGGGGGGCTTAATCTTCACTCACCCTGCGCCCCCGCGGGAGTAAAACCCGGGGGGAGGGGGTATCTCTACCTGCTTCTTGACTCCCTGGCTTTTGTACCTCCTGCCATGGAGGTGAGAACCATCTTCCTGCTGCTCCAGCCCTGGAATGTTCTTTCCTCCAGTGTGAGCTAAGGAGGGAAGTTCTAGGAGAACAGAGCCAGGCCTCTGAAAAAGATGTGGTGGGGTTACCTGGGCAGGGAGGGTCCCTGGGGAATGGGTTTCCTTCCCAGGGATGAAGGGCTGGGCACTTCATTGCTCCTTGTGGGATATTTAGATGGGGGTAATAATGGCCATAGGAGTGGCTCATTTCTGTTGAATCGGCTGTGTTGGGGGATACTAAGCCAGAACCCACACTCAGCTGCGCTCCACAAGGGAACTCCCCAAAAGCTGCAATGAAGGCGCTTGCACTGACTTTTCCCATTTATGTTGTCTGGTTCAAAGTGATCTGCTGTCCACACACCTAGGTCTGAACTAGAAGTGAAAACCGGGGCATAGGCAGAGGTTTCTCTTCCTGGTAAAGTGATAGCATTTCCCTTAGTGCAAGCCTGGTACTTTATCTTGTGTCCTGTCCCATTTTGAGTGCGAAACAAGTATCTTAGAGGAGTTAAATAAACCCCTTCCCAAAGTCCTTGACTTTGGAACCCCGGTAGTTGTTTCTCAGTGCTTCTTGAGTTGGGAAGTTATCATGAGGAAGGAATCAGAATCCTCTGACCTTCCACGAAGTGGAGTCCGCGGGCCCATCTGTGGCCACCTAATCCTCTGGAGTGCCAGCTCACCCTCTTCTCTACTGCTCCCCCTAGGAAGAAAACCCTCTACAGGAGTGTGTGCCTGGCTCTGGCCCTCCTTGTGGCAATCACTGTATTCCAGCGCAGTGTGACCCCTGGCCAATTTCTTGAGGATCCTCTACCACCCACACTGGAGCCACCCAAAACTGGAAATGGGGTCAATTCCAACAGCTTCTGGAAGAGCTCAAAGGATATAGCAGCTCCCTCCCCCATAGCCCCCCGGGGACCCCAAACCTGGGATGTGATTAGCACTAACTGTTCTGCCAATGACAACCTGACCCATCAGCCCTGGTTCCAGAGTCTCGAGCCACATTTCCGGCAGTTTCTAGCCTATCGCCACTGCCGCTTTTTCCCCATGTTGCTGAACCACCCGGAGAAGTGCAGAGGCGATGTCTACCTGTTGGTGGTCATCAAGTCTGTCATCACGCAGCACGACCGCCGGGAGGTCATCCGCCGGACCTGGGGCCAGGAGTCAGAGTCAGCAGGTCCGGGCAGGGGTGCCGTGCGTACCCTCTTCCTGCTGGGCACAGCCTCCAAGCAAGAGGAGCGGACCCACTATCAGCAGCTGCTGGCCTATGAGGACCGTCTCTATGGCGACATTTTACAGTGGGACTTCCTTGACAGCTTCTTCAACCTGACCCTCAAGGAGATCCACTTCCTTAAGTGGCTTGACATTTACTGTCCCCATGTCCCCTTCGTCTTCAAAGGGGACGACGACGTCTTCGTCAACCCCACCAACCTGCTCGAGTTTCTATCTGACCGCCAGCCCCGGGAAAACCTGTTTGTAGGGGACGTCCTGAAGCATGCACGGCCCATCCGCAGAAAAGAAAACAAATATTTCATCCCCACCATCATGTACAGCAAGGCCACGTACCCACCCTATGCCGGCGGAGGGGGTTTCCTCATGTCCGGCGTTCTGGCTCGGCATCTCCACCAGGCCTGTGACGCGGTGGAGCTCTTCCCGATTGATGACGTCTTCCTGGGCATGTGCCTGGAGGTGCTGGGGGTGCAGCCGACCGGCCACGAGGGCTTCAAGACCTTTGGCATCTCTCGGGTCCGAAGCAGCCGGATGAACAGGGAGCCCTGCTTCTACCGCGCCATGATTGTGGTGCACAAGCTGCTGCCTCCCGAGCTGCTGGCCATGTGGGACCTGGTGCACAGTAATCTCACCTGTTCCCTCAAGTTCCAGGTGCTCTGATCCGGCTGGGCCGCCAGCACATTTGCCCTCAAGTCCTTGGGGGGGGGTCCTGGGGCTGGAGCTACAGTCCATGGCATAGTCCCCGTGTGGGAGAGGTGAAGGGTCTGGGCCTTCTGTGCCCCTGGGTGTGGTGTGGTACAGAGAGCCAGAGAGGAACTTCCAGAAATTCCCAGAAAAGTGAGGACCAGGAACAGCTGGAACTTCCTTGACCAAAGGTCATCTGAGGACCTGGATCTCTCCTAGCCTAGGCCTATAGCCTGGCCCCTCTATCCTGGTAGGAGACCCTGGTGGCCTCTGCAGGAACATTTGCTCAGGTACCTGCCTTAGGCCTGGCCCCCATGGGTCTGTGGCTGCCTCTTGTCGTCACAGGGAAGTCTCATCCTGTGAAGTGCCTCGGCTCCCTGAGGGCCGGGCCTCATCTGTGGGAGCGTGACCCTGTGCTGGTCCACAGGTGTCCCCTGGCCCACACCCCTGGGTGTCCCCATAGGCTTTCAGCACAGCCCCAGGCTTGCCTGGAATCTGCTCCAGAGCCATGACTCCTGGCTCTGTCTTCTCCTGTCCGGAAGCCTGCCTGACTGGCCACTCTGACTACCTCAGCACGCCTCTAAACCTCAGTGTGGGCTCCAGCCCCACCCTCCACCCTGACACGGGGCAAAAGAGCAGTGCTCCTGACCCCCCAAGGCACAGTGATACCTGACCAGAGCCCAAGCCAGGTCTCACCCTTGCACCTCACCGATACTGACTTCCTGGCCAGAAACTGGCCTGTTTGGCCCTAGACGTTGACATTCTTCTATTACTGTGAAGTTGTATTTATGGGGAATTGGAAGGATATCACTCCAGGGCTTGGGAGGTGGTAGACCCCCCCCCCCCATCTCTCTCTCTACACTCCCCTTCAGCAGCCTCCTTCACCACCTACACCTTTACCATTTACCCCTTGTCTTTCTGTCCCACTCTGAGCTCCCCCCACTGACGCCCCTACTTGTCTGGGGCCTACACAGATTACTTTCCCTGTGAAAGATTGCCACCTCCCACCGCGGACTGAGGTTACCTGGAAAAGATGGAGGCATCGTTAGTTTCTCAATAAAACTGGACTGGTTGCTGAAGGTGTCTGAGCTAGTTGGTTCCTTGGTCTTGGCTAGTAGGTGTTTAAGGGAGGGGGTGTGCTAATGAGGGAAGCCTGCGCTCTTCAGGTGACCACATGGATGGCTGAGGCCTTGGTCTAGGTTTAGATTTGCCAAGGTCAAGGCAAGAGCCCAGGCCCTCGGCTAGTGTTCTAGTGACCTTAGGCAGGGTAAGCAGCGTTTAGTAGGCTTCCTGATGTCCTGTGCAGTCAGCCTGGAGGCATTGAGACTGCCGCTTGCAGGACCTTTGCCCAAGCTGCTGCTTCCAGAGGAGGAAGGGCAGCTACTTCCAGGACAGGATAGTAGTGAGCAAGCCAACTGTGTCCAGCTCAGGGAGAGCCACCATAGGCCCAGCTACCCAGATCCAAGTCTTAGGGACAACGAGGACAGGGCTGCTACCATTCCCCCCTAGCAAAGGTCTTCCCACGCCTCCCTTTGTCAACTGAAAAAAAAAAAAAACAAAACAAAAAACAGATGTGCAGAGCTCATTGCAAAGTGCATACCCTGGTTCCCAGAAGTTAAGAACTTTGAGATTGCAAACACTACAGGACCCTTTTGTAGAACCAGGGCCTGCAGGAGGCCCACCTCTTTCAAAGGTCACAGACACACACTGCCCCCAGAACAGCAGCCGAGAGACAATGGGAGACAGAAGTGCCAGGTGGAGGCCTAGGGGTTATGTATGTAGCCACCTCTAAGGACCAGGCAGAGGCATGGTTCAATCAAAGGGCAAGGGAGGGAGGTGGATGGTTGTTTATTCAGCTAGGTGCCAAGCAGGCCTGAATCTCCAGCCTTGAGGGTTTTAGGAAAATGTCTGGAGTTGACTCTGAGAATGGGGCAAAGGAGAACAGTAGTTCTGAGGCCCCTGCACATTGGCTTACTTTGTCCCGGGTCCTGTGAACTGGGAACACTTAAGTGCAAGTAGCCCCCCTCCCCCACCGTGGATCTTGAGTGTTTCTGAGCCTTGCTCAACCTCAGACAGAGAATGAGGCTTTGCTTCCGGCTAGGCTCCCTCACTTGGGCCCAGGGCTGGGCAGGCAGGTGGAGGGGGGAGCATTTGCAGAGCCAGAAGGAAGGCCTAGGAACCCATAAGGGGGGTGGGGAGGGATGCTCACGTTCCCCAACCTCCAGCACTAACACTCTCACTGAGCCTTGTATCTGTGGTCGACTGGAATTTGGAGGAGGCTCTGCTGGTAGATAAGGAAGAAGTGCCCTGCTGAGTTTGTTAGCCAATCCCCATTCTAGGGTCCAAAAGTGATAGAGCAGACCCAGGGCTACACAGGCAAGACTGCTTAGACATCCACCACAGCTCCAACCAAGAGCAGGTTAGGCCAGTGGGGCGGGACAGAATGGAGCAACTTTTATGAGAAAACCCCTCCATCAGTTCCCATCCTGTTTATCTTATAGAAGGAGGGATTCAGAACCAGAACAGGGATTGTCCAGTCTTGACTGGTCAGTGTCCAGTCCTCCAGGCAAGAGTAAGAGATTTTAGAAAGAATCCGGTCCCAACTGGTCAGGGGCCGAGCAGAGGCTCCTGCAGTTCACTGATTAGCTCTGCCTCTCAGAGACAGGGTATTCTCTGGAGACTGCCTTTACCCTACATCTGAGAGAATGAATGGCTGTGTTTCTTAGCTATGTGTAGCCCCTGGGTCGCTGTTTGAATCTGCGGAGAGGACCAACCAAACAGGATACTCCCGGCAGCCGCATCTGGGTGTCTCTCTCAGGGCCCCATCTGTCTCTGTCTCGTTAGCGTGTTCTCCACAGGCTCTGAACTATAAAACACATCAAATGGATGAAGGTCCAAATCCCGCTACACCAAACCGGATAGAAATATAGACGTTCAGAATGCCCAGCCTCCTGCAGCCCCTTCAGCCATTCTGCTCAGTTGCCCTTGACTTTTTTTTTCAGTTTGCCTAGTAAGTCTCCATCCAGGTTGCCTCTAAAGACACCTTTATTGCTGGCCACTTGGGAAACAGGCATAAAGATAAAGGTTATTCTGGAAGACTCGGGCCTTTTCACTAAACTCTTGTTTTCCTAGCCGAGAGGCATGACCCATCACCAAAGTTGCGTAACAAAAGACAAGAAAAGTCTTACAGGTTTAATTAAAGGTTCCTTCCCCAGAAAGCCTCAAGTACCTCAGGCTGGATTTGAACTCCCCAGGATTAGCCACTTCCCAATGGCTGGGGTCGCGGGTGTAAAGTAGGGACTGATGGAGGCGATGTGGCAATCAAGGGAATCAGGCACCTCCTGAAGCAGAATTGTCTTTAATCAGAGCAGCTGGAGGGCTACAGTCTCTTCCGGAGGGAGACTGGATGTGGGTGGCCTGGGGGTCTTGAGGTTTTATGGGATGTGAAAAGGTGAGAATTGGGATGGAGGAGGGCAGTTTCTCCCCATCCCCACCCCCCACCCCCCAACCCCCACAAGTGGTGGGTACCAGCCTGTTGGCCTGTGGCTTTCCTTACCAGAAGCTTCCACGGGTGTTAATCAACTCTCCTGTCCAAGTTTCTCAGCCCCCCTGAGGCTTTTAGATAATTATCCCTTTAACAGGCCCATGATTACCATGCCAAGTTTGTCCGGTGCTGAGGACTGAACCCAGGACTTCCTGCAAGCCCTCTACCGACTGAGCTGCGGGGAGGCCAAGCAAGGTCCAGCTCAGACTCCTCCTAACCTATGTGGTTAGCACTGCTAGTCCCAGGCACAGGTTAGGACCTTCTGTGGTGAGCTCCCCCCCCCGAAACAGAAGGGAACAGAGTGACATTTCTAACTTTTATGGTTTACTTCAGGGGAAGAGGGCTCTACCTTCCATGTCCTTTAGTTCAGCGTGACAAAGGACCAGTGTTTACGATCTTTTTCTGGGTGGACGTTAGTAATAACAGTTATGGAGCCCCCGTCAATATGCCTGTTGCTGGGAATATTTGGCATGTATAAGTTATATGCCTTTGACTTTAGTAAATAGGTTTACATTTCTATATAAATTCTTTTATATACCCTTGTCGGGCATCCAAGTGCCCTCCCAATTTTCCTTGGCAAAGTCGATTCCAGCTGTTCGCCATCGCTCCACACAGGGGCGCTGCTGAGCGGGACCTGCGCGGTACGGGAGCTTCTCAGGCCACACGGGCTACAGCGAAGCCTACGCTTCAGGCATTAAAGTATCCATCTCTTTCACACTTATCGCAATCATCCTCCGTCAAAGAGCAGTTGGATGTTGAGAACCTGGTCAAGGAGTTTCTGGACTCCTTCATAGCAACCTTCAGGCTTTTGATGGCAGTAGATTTTAGCCAGTCCCCAGACTGATTTGGGACAGCAATAGGTGGTGTGTTGAGGGGAAGGGTTTCCTTACCAAGGACAGAAGGCCTCAACAGCAAAAAGTTCCTGTCCTCAGCTAACAGCTCTGTATTCAAAGGGAACTTGAAAGGGGGCAAAAGGCCGCCCCACGGTAGCCCAGAGCCGGGCTGCCTCCTCGGGGCATATTTGCATAACTAAAGGAGACCACTTAAGGAATCCTACCCTTTACAAAGGAAACCTGTTCCTAGGTGTAGTACCGGGGAGTAGGGAGAAGCTTCTGGAATTCCGTTCAACACTATGTTGAAAGGAAGAAATGGAGGTTTCAGAAGAATCCCACAGCTATTGTGTGACAGGGATTGCCTGGAACCCTATGCTCCCAACCCCCGCTCCAAATCATCCCCCCCAACATTCGTCCCCGCCATTTTCCTCACAGATTCTCAGTGGTAAATGTGCTTGCTTCTGTGTGCAAGCCTACAGATTACCAAACCCTGTTATGTCCAATGAGTGATGACTCTGGGGAATCTCAGAAGCACAGACTCTGATGGGGGAGGGGAATCAGATAACTACTTAAATATCCTGATGCTTTTCTGTTCCCGTGAAGCCCTGGCCCAGCCTGAAATGTCTGCACCAAGCCACATTTACTGTCCGGAGCCTCTTTCCACGATTAAAAAAAGAGAAGAATTGCTGTTACGTTTGTTTATTTATGGGACGGGGCGTGCGTGTGCCGCGTGTGGGTGCGGAGATCGGAGGACAGCTTGCGGCAGCATGTTCTCGCCTTCCAGTGGGTGGGATCTGGGGACAGGACTCCCGTGTCAGGCTTGGTGGCAAGCACCTTCCCGTGCTCTGTCATCTGGCTGGCCCCATTTTCTAAGCTGATGACTGTGCAGACTGCCCAGTGTGGGGAGCACTTAGGTTGATTTCTCCCTCCTGTGGAAAAACCAGTTTTCCTCCGTCTGCAATTCAATTCTTTAGCTCTGAAAATGTGTGCTGTTGAATGCCTCCTTTAGCTGGTCACTGCGTCTGCCTTGTCCCCCTCTCGCTAACACACACACTCATTTCTGTGTCTACATGGAAGACACTACCTTCCCGCAGTGACTAAACCACTGTTTTCTTATTTAAACAAGACACTGCAACTTTTGTATCTATTTCTGATACAAAACTGGAATTGTGGGAAGACAGGCGTCAGTTCATTCTTAAGTAGGTAGCTGGTTAGAGAGAGGTCCGAGATGCGGCCGCGCTGACCTGAGCACTTCCGCTTTAGAGGGAGATGGGCCCTTGCACAAAAGAAACCCCGTAGCTGAAGCTTTTTTCCACTCCCGAAGGCCTCTGAGCTAACTCCCAGCCAGCGGGATAACTCCCTGCCCCGTTCCCCAGCCAACCACAGATAAACCCAAGGGTGGGCATGCCTAAGCTAACTCCATCTCCCTCCCAACCGCTGGGCTGGCTGTAGATAACCTGCAGGTGGGCTTGGCCGGTTTTTAACGGTCCCCACCCTTGTCGTACTCAGTCAGGTCCCTGCAGGCCTTTGAAACGACCCAACGGACTAAGTTTATCTGTGCCTGGTCCAATTTGAAAGGAACCCACCCCTGCTCCACACCCTATTAGAAAATATATAAACCCAGAGCTGGATATGGTGGGGCACCCTTGTAGTCCCACTATTTGGGAGGCAGAGGCAGGTTTAGCTCTGTGGTTTCAAAAAACCAATCTGGAGCCTGGTGGTGGTGGCACACACCTTTAATCCCAACACTGGGGAGGCAGAGGCACGTGGATCTCTGTGAGTTCGAGGCCAGCTTGGTACACAAGAGCTAGTTCCAGGACAGGCACCAAAGCTACAGAGAAATCCTGTCTCGAAAAAACCAAAAAACCAAACTGGTCTACATAGTGAACTCCAGACCAGCCAAGGCTACATAGACCCTGCCTCAAAAAAGCAATACACAGAGAGATAAAGAAACTTGACTACCTGGGAGCAAATTGTGCTTCTCTGACACCCACCCTCACTCCCCTTGTTAGGCACCGGGGTTCGGCCTCTGCCACAAACATTGTGGGGTGAACCGCAACTTTCTCGTCCTATAATTCTTTACCTGACAGAGCAATGTCGTCGAGACAGGAGAGCTAGAGAGCAACATAAACTTGGAAGTAAATTTTACATTCACTATAGTCTCTTAGATGTGGCCCGAGTCCCCCTAGGAGCTTGGAGAAAATACTGGACCAGGCCATAAACCCAGAAGATTAAAAAGGAACTCGAGGGTTAGGAGTGGGCCCGACGGTAACTAAAGGCCTCAAGGCTACCAGGAGTCTAGTGCCCGCAGCATCCTGGCAGCACCGAGGGGCAGAGATTTGCTGACCCTGCAGAACAGAAGGTGACTATCTTGAATCATCTGGATTTCCCCCGCACGGCCCAACCTACTGGAATGCCCGGAATTCCTTCCTGGTCCTGAGCTCTGCAGGCCTGGCGCCTAAGTCACCCGCGGCAAAAGGGAGCCCCAGGTCGTCAGGATCTGAGACCCCGCAGGGGACAGATGGAAGGCCCTGAGCGTCTGCTGGCTAGGATCCCGGAGAGGAGCCGTGTGTGAGCGCGTTCCGAGTGATTGATTGTGCTGGGCACCAGTGGTGTGGGTGGCGAGGACTTGCGATGGTCCGCGTACCCCCGGGCAAGCTGGGGGCGGAGTTCCCCACGAGTACCAAGGAGCAAGGGGTGGCAGGCTTCCCTGACCACAGTAAATCGAGAAAAGGCAGGGAGCGCCCCCTGCTGACCTCCGGGACAACTGGCGCTAGAAAGCTGAGGACACTTTGAGCCATTCATTAGTAAGTGCAATCTGGAATTTAGCATCATTTGAACCCCTAAATTATTAGTGTCTAAGTCATTGTGTGCTTCAGTATTGGCTTCACACCAGTGGGTAGCGGGAATTTACCGCTGACAATGAAAACGGAGGGTTCTTACTCTTTGCGTAACGGGACTGTATAATAAAATAAGGTCTCCCTTGTACCCAATTTGTGAGGCAAAAGCTCCGGCTCCATCCAGTAGTTCCAGCAAGGCTCTGCCACCTGCCCCAGTATGCCAGTTAAGAGTTATGGTGAAGGTGGGGGTGGCGGCTCAAGCCTGGAATCCTAGCACTTGGAAGATTAAGGAAGGAGGATCCCACACAAGTTAGAGGCCAGTCTGAGCTACAGAAGAACAGATTTATTTAATGTGGCCTCATTGGGAAGAATAAACAAAAAGGTCCAGCGAGTATTGACATGAGATTTAGGTTTAAAGAGAAAAAGAGATGGGAGAGAGATGGCAGAAGGCATTCCAGTTAAGCAGACCTGGTCAACCTGTGACCTGGCGGATTGCTGTCTCAGTTCTGGTTGTAAAAGGTGGTCCTAGACTCTGTCATGGCTTGAGGGGTTCAGTCTGGGTCCTAGACTTCTGCCCCAGGCTGCAGTCTCCCCTCCCAGCTAATCAGCCTTGTCTCAGGGATGGTTTATTTTTACAAGTTTTGTTCTTCCGGGAGAGTTTAGGGTAATTATCTTTGTGCTTCAGCCAAAGGAAACACACACAAAAGGAAGGCAGAGATGCCAGGTCCCCTCCTGCTTTAGTTACCTTGTGGGACCAAATCAGAAGGCCTCACCCAGGGGAGGAGACATACAGGGTTTTTAGGGCCCAGGGAGCTGAGTTGTGGGTTAACAGAGTTCGCTGTACTCACTCAGGCTCCCAGGTTCTGTGAGGTCAGAACGGAGGCCTTGGATGTTAGAGAATTGTATGCTGTTGCAGTTGTATAGGGTTGCAGACAGAAGGCAAAAATTGCTTAATTGGATTAGATTATCTTTATTCACAGATGTAAATATACATCAAAGACCAAAATATGCAATTAAGAAAACGAAATATGCCAGGTAGTGGTGGTGCAAAGCTCTAGTCCCTGCATTCAGAAGGCAGAGGCAGGGGGATACCTGAGTTCAAGGCCAACCTGGTCTATAGAGCCAGTTCCAGGACAGTCAGGGCTACACAGAGAAATCCTATCACGAAGAAAAAAGAAAAAAGAAAAGAAATGAGATCTATATATCCTATGGATTAAAAGTGTATAGCATCATTCCTGGCTTCTTATGTCTCATGTTAAGAAATAGATTCTTTTAAAAAAAAAAAAAACATTTTTTTATAAGGTACTAGAGAGATGGCTCAGCACACTGGCTGCTCCTTTTCTGAGGGGGGTCATTCAAGACAGGATTTCTCTGTATAGTTTTGGAGACTGTCCTGGAAATCACTCTGTAGACCAGGTTGGCCTCGAACACACAGAGATCCACCTGCCTCTGCCTCCTGAGTGCTGGGATTAAAGGCGTGCACCACTGCCACCCTGCACACTGTTCTTGCAGAGGACCTGAGTTCAATTCCCAGCACGCACTTGAAATTCCAGTACCAGGGTATATAGCGCCCTCTCCTGGTTTCTGTGGGCACTGTGCACACTGACATGTGCATGCCCATAAGTATACAATAAATTAAATCTTTTTTAAAATTATCAAATGTATGCATCTTATTTTATGCGTGAATGTTTGTCTGCTGTATGTATGTCCATCACTTGCATACTTCGTGCCCTCAGAGGGCAGAAGAGGACATCCCCTGGAACTGAAATTGTGGCTAGGTCCTCTATAAAAGCAACAAGTGTTCTTAAGCCCTGAGCTCTCTCTAGCCCCTAAAGAAAGTTTTTAAAAGTTGTTGAACATGGTGGTAGATACCTGTAATTCCAGCATTTAGAGGGTAAAAATAGAAGCATCAGGAGTTCAAGGCCAGCCTCAGATACATAGTAATTTCAAGATCACTCTGGGGATACTAGAGAGATAGCTCAGTGGTTAAAAGTACTGGGTGCCCTTCCAAGACCCTGGGTTCAATACCCAGCATCCATATAGTGGCTTATAACCACCTGTAACTCCAGTCCCAGGAGATCCAATGCCCACCTATGGCCTCTGCAAACACTTGCATACACAGACACACCTCTCACTGGATGTGGTGACACAGGCCTTTAATCCCAGCACTTGGGAGGCAGAGGCAGGCAGATCTCTATGAGTTGGAGGCCAGCCTGGTCTACAGAGAGAGTTCCAGGCCAGGCCTGTATAGTCAGATCCCTTGAGTTTGGAGCCTTCAGACCCACATCAAGCTGACATGCAATGGGTCTGTAATCCTAGCTCTCCAACCAGAAAGGAGCCAGGGGTGATGGAAACAAGGGACAGCTAGCCTGGCGTTCAGGGCAGAGAAGCAAAGACCTTCCTCAAACCAAGGGAAGGTGAAGATTAACAATCAAGGTTGTCCTCTGCTCTCCACACACACCCCATGGCACATACATGCCCATGTGTACACGTACATACACCATGGCACACACATGCCCATGTGTACGCACACACACCATGGCACATATATGTCCATATATATACACACATACCCCATGTCTCATGCATGCCCATGTGTACACACCCCATGGCACATACATGCCCATGTGTATATATACACACCCTATGGCACATACATGCCCATGTTTACACACACACACACACACAGAGCAATAAAACTGTGTCTGTATGCCACATAAAGGTGATCATTTCTCTTTTACACATAAAATCTTAGCATACGTGCACATTTGAAAGAAAGAAATCACCAAGTGTACCCAAGCCAGGATGTGGATAGGCCCAACTCCACATCATAATACAATAAGCCAGAAATGACCCACAGAAGTAAATCAAATAGCAACAGCAATAACAGCCACCCTAGTCTCCTTCTTAAATAACCATTGAGTCCAAAAGGAAATAAAAAATTATAAAGGCCAATTGTTTTGAAATCAGGAATAGCACATGATTATATGTAAGGTGATAATGCCAGTTTGCACCATGCTATACTTTAGGCCCTTGGTCCTGAGTCTTTGGCTACAAAAGTTGTGAAATTTCACAGCTTTAAATACATTTAGTTTTGTAAGCTAAGACAATCCAAATAAGTAAATTAATCGTCCCAACATGTCAGGAAATGACAATGTAAAGGCTAAGGAAAGAATTCAATGTCTATTGAGTTCAGGCTGTGGCCTGCCCTAAATTATGGTGTAAAACAGTAAAATCTACATCGAGGGTGGGGCGATGCCACAATGGGGGAAGCACTTGCTGTGCCAATGTGAGGGTCTGAGTTCGGATCCTGAAGCCACAGAAAGCTGGACACAACAGCGGGTCCGTAATCCCAGCATGCCTACCAGATAGACCAGTGCTGAGCAAGGCCCTGAGAGCCTCCATTTTACAGGCTGCTTCAGGATGACTCGGGAGGACCCGTGAGCAAGGTCACATCTTTGTCACCATCCGTGAAACACAGATCCATAAATAACTTATTCTGAAGTCAAAAAGTTGCCACTCTATAAATTGATCAAAGTAAATTGGGATCATCAAGGGCACAGTAAAATCACACCAGGAAGAACTGGAAAGACACTTCAGCCCAGCACCCACAACCTTCCATAACGCCAGTTCCAGAGATCTGACCGCCGCAGACACCACACCTGCACGTGATGCACACACATACACACAGGCAAAGCACTCACATGCACAGAATTCAATAATAAATACTTTAAAAAGTCATATCAGAAAAATCAGGCAGGAGAAGTTACCAAACACAATAGATGAAAGAAGGAAGCAAGCCTGTCCCCGAGCCCCATAAAGAGGAGGGCACTCTCACTGGTGGAGACAGCGCCACAAATCTGCCGTCTGACCATCCGGTGTCCGTATCAAGGGACGGAAAGACAGAGAACTTCCAGGCTGTCCCAGTTTGGTCCCCTCTGGTGATTCAGCCTACTCCCATGGCTGTTTGTCCATCTACTTCACACACACACACACACACACACACACACACACACACACACACACACATCTCTCTGACCCTGATTCTACAGCTTCCGCCTCACTTCTGTGGCTCAGCTTCACACTGAGGCTCGGCTCAAACCTGTGGCCTCTTGGTTTGATTCTGCCACTGTGTCCAGCGTCCTCCAGTCTGGTTCCTTGTCTAACTCCCACTGAGGTTCACATCCTGTCTACCAGCCTCCACTTCTGCCTCTCAGGAAGGACTGAGTGGTGCCTCTGCCCCGCGTGGGTTTTAACCCTTTGTAGTCATTCTGTAACACGCACATAGAGAAAGATGCGCTGTGGCCCGCTGTGTGATGTGGGTTAGTGGTGGTGGCTGAGACGAGAGTGGGAGAGTCTGTGTCGGCCAGCGGGCGGCTACCAAGGAGACAGGACTGCTTGGCAACTGCAGCCTGCAGAACCAATGCAGCTTGTGAATTCCATGTTACTGGATGTCGCTGACATTGTGGAAAGATGCAGATGTATCTGTTTCTGACACAGCACTTCTTGACAGGATTTTTTTTTTTTCTTGTTTTGCTTGTTTCAGTAGCGGGGATCAAAAGCACAAGCTTTTACATGCTGGGGAGTGTCCTGTCAAAAGTTAAGTCACAAAACGATGATGATGGTCGTGGCTGGAGTTGATACGGCTGGAGGGATCGCTCAGCAGGTCAGAGCACATATTGCTCTTCCAGGGAACCTTTCTCGCATTCCCAGCACCCACATCACGCAACTCACAACCACCTGTAACTCCAGCTCCAGGGGGATATGACATCTCTCGCCTCAGAGACACGTATATGCAATTAAAATACAAAAATAATTGAGCTGGGGGCTGGAGAGATGGCTCAGCGATTAAGAGCATTGCCTGCTCTTCCAAAGGTCCTGAGTTCAATTCCCGGCAACCACATGGTGGCTCACAACCATCT